GAATGTTGAATATTGGCCCCCACTCTCTTCTGGATTGTAGAATTTCTGCCGAGAGATCTGTTAGTCTGATGGGCTTCCTTTTGTGGGTAACCCGACCTTTCTCTCTGGCTGCCCTTAACATTTTTTCCTTCATTTGAACTTTGGTGAATCTGACAATTGTGTGTTTTGCAGTTGCTCTTCTCGAGGAGTATCTTTGTGGCGTTCTCTGTATTTCCCGATTTTGAATGTTGGCCTGCCTTACTAAGTTGGGGAAGTTCTCCTGGATAATATCCTGCAGAGTATTTTCCAACTTGGTTCCATTCTCCCCATCACTTTCAGGTACACCAATCAGATGTAGATTTGGTCTTTTCACATAAACATAATCCCATATTTCTTGGAGGCTTTGTTCATTTCTTTTTACTCTTGTTTCTCTACACTTCTCGCTTCATTTCATTCATTTGATCTTCAATCACTGATACTCTTTCTTCCATTTGATCGAGTCAGTTACTGAAGCTTGTGCATTTGTCACGTAATTCTTGTGTCATAGTTTTCATCTCCATCAGTTCATTTATGGAGTTCTCTGCATTGATTATTCTAGTTATCCATTCATCCAATCTTTTTTCAAGGTTTTTAGTTTCTTTGCGCTGGGTACGTAGTTCCTCCTTTAGCTCTGAGACATTTGCTTGACTGAAGCTGCCTTCTCTCAACTCATCAAAGTCATTCTCTGTCCAGCTTTGTTCTGTTGCTGGTGATGAGCTGTGTTCCTTTGGAAAGGGAGATGCGCTCTGATTTTTGAATTTCCAGCTTTTCTGCACTGCTTTTTCCTTACCTTCGTGGTTTTATCTGCCTTTGGTCTTTGATGATGGTGACATACTGATGGGGTTTTGGTGTGGGTGTCCTTTGTGTTTGTTAGTTTTCCTTCTAACAGTCAGGACCCTCAGCTGCAGGTCTGTTCGAGTTTGCTTGAGGTCCACTCCAGACCCTGTTTGCCTGGGTATCGGCAGCAGAGGCTACAGAAGATAGAATATTGCTGAACAGCGAGTATTGCTCTCTGATTCTTGCTCTGGAAGCTTCGTCTCAGGGGTGTACCCAGCTGTGTGAGGTGTGAGGTGTCTGCACCTCGTGGGGGATGTCTCCCAGTTAGGCTACTCAGGGGTCAGGGACCCACTTGAGCAGGCAGTCTGTCCGTTCTCAGATCTCAGCCTCCATGCTGGGAGAACCACTGCTCTCTCCAAAGCTGTCAGACAGGGACTTTTACATCTGCAGAGGTTTCTGCTGCTTTTTGTTTAGCTATGCCCTGTCCCCAGAGGTGGAGTCTACTAAGGCAGGCAGACCTCCTTGAGCTGCAGTGGGCCCTGGCCAATTTGAGCTTCCCTGTGGCTTTGTTTACCTACTTAAGCCTCAGCAATGGCAGTCGCTCCTCCCCCAGCCTCACTGCTGCCTTGCAGTTAGATCTCAGACTGCTGTGCTAGCAATGAGGGGAGGCTCCGTGGGCATGGGACCATCTGGGCCAGGTGTGGGATATAATCTCCTGGTATGCCGTTTGCTAAGACCCTTGGTAAAGCGCAGTATTAGGGTGGGGTTGACCCGATTTTCCAGGTGTTGTGTGTCTCAATTTCCCTTGGCTAGGAAAAGGAATTGCCTTCCCCCTTGTGCTTCCCAGGCGAGGTGATGCCTCACCCTGCTTCATCTCTTGCTGGTTGGGCTGCACCCGTGGACCAGCATGGACTGTCTGACACGCCCCAGTGAGATGAACCCGGTATCTCAGTTGAAAATGCAGAAATCACCCGTCTTCTGTGTTGCTCACGCTGGGAGCTGGAGGCTGGAGCTGTTCCTATTCGTCCATCTTGAGGCCCCCCCCTTTTTTTTCGTTACTTGACATTTAACACTGCAGTTCTCTCATCTGTAAAATGGGCACACTGCAGTGATTGCCTCATACACTTATTGTTAGGGTTAAAATAACTACCGTAGGGAAAGCACTGAGAAGGGTGTTGGGCAGAGAGGAAGTCCTGTAGAAGCATTAGCCAGTAGTACTTGCAGTGGGTGGAATAAAACCCTGGGTTGGGACATCACATCTTGTGGTTTTCCTTCTGCTCTGCCCTCGACTGTGCTGCCCCAGGTTCCTTCTCTATAAAGTGGGATCTATCATGACCAGCCTACCTTATCAGCATAGGAGAGAAAATCTTCATGTCTGAAGGTCAGTGATCACAGATGGCATACTTGACTTGTGCTGCTTCATTTTGGGGGTCCATGGTATCAATGAACTTGTTTTACTTCTGGGCATCTTGGAGTTGCAGATTCCATCATGCAGAATGGCCCTTTGGAGGTTTTTCCCTCCCATCCCCCTGCCCAGGTACCTGAACTGTCCTGGGGAGATGGCACTTCTGTTGCCCTCTGGGGATGGAGCTTCCATAATCTATGCCCTCAACCCTCTTTAACCCTCCTAGTGTCTCATGGGAGAGCTCTTATAAAACGGACCCCTCCTTCTCCCTCTAGCAGCCCCTCCTCCTGTTCTGCGGTCCCTTGTGCACCTACTCCCTTCTCTTCTCCCTTCTCTTCTCCCTTCTCTTCTCCCTTCTCTTCTCCCTTCTCTTCTCCCTTCTCTTCTCCCTTCTCTTCTCCCTTCTCTTCTCCCTTCTGTCCTGCTTAACCTAGGAGAAGGTGAGGACAGCTGGTCTCCACCTACTGTGAAGACAGATGTGGGGGGATCTGCCGTCCAGGGGCTCGCCCCCCACTCCTGCCTCCAGGGCTGACCCCTGGACAGTGGATGACCCTTTAGGGCGGCGGGAAGGAGGCTTTGCTGGCGGGATTGGAAACTAATCAGTCAGACAGTTCATGAGATAATCCGGCTGAATTTTTACACTTGAAGCAGGTTGTGGGGCGTCGCCCCGGGCTTGGGGGAGCAGGGAGCGATTATCGTCTCGCCTCTCAGCCCCACGGACCCGAGTGTGTCCTGGACTCAACCCGGCTGCGGGACCGCGCTCCTTTCTCGACGCCCGGCTGGCAGCGCCCGGCAGCGCCGGCGGCCGGGAGGGATGGGGGAGGAGGCGGCGGCAGCCGGCGAGGGGCGGACTCGCCCGGACGGAGCTGAGCGAGATGGAATTAGCCCCGCGGCGGCATAAGCCTGCCCAGAAGCGCGCGGCTGCGGCCGGCGGGGTCTGCATCCACACCATGGCTACTCCCAGGCCGCGTGGTGAGTCTCCTGGCTGGACCCTGGTCCTGGTTTCTGACAGGTGGTAGGAGGGAGGGAGTGAAGGAGGTGGCATCCGAACTTCCACCCTTTGGGATTAGTGACCCCGAGGGAGCCTGGGCAGGGTGGTACGGGAAGTTGACCCCGTTTTCCCAGGATAGGGACTCTGAGGGACGTCTATGTAATTTCCAAGACTTTTTTTTTTTTTTTTTAAATCAAGGAGAGGGAAGGTAGGACAACAGAGGTGTGGGGCGGCCGCTTCTCCGTGACTGGTTACCAATGCCCACCTCTGTGATGTTGCCTCTCCTTGTTACAAGTCCTGGGGATGCTTAGCCTACGGCATCTGTGGCTGAGTAAAAAATAAGTAAGCAAGCAGCCGGAGTGGGTTTAACTCGGCAACAGTCCGCTGAGAACAGAACAAATTTGACTTTGGCATCCCTGGAGTGGCCTCTCAGTTTCAGAAGTGTCTTCTGGTGTCTCACCCCAAATCGGGATTCCAAGATCAGTCATTTACACCCCAGGCTGCAGGGAAACACAGCTATACCTTCCCCAGGGACTTTCCTTAGAAGAAAAGCAAATGGAGGTGGAGTATGGAGAAGGAAGACGTTATTTTACTGCTTTTGGACAGGATTGATTTTGCCTGGGACGGGAACTTTGTCGGGTGTTGTGTTTCTGGTAGTTCTTGAGAGAGGCGTGAAGAGGGAGGTGCTCGCTCCTTTGGCATGAACAATGAGCCGAATGGACTGGGAGGTGGTGTCAGTCACAGTCCTGATACTTTGTGAGCAGACGTGGAGAAATACCACCCCAGGACCATGTGGAACCTCGTCTGGGACAGAAGGTCCCACTGAGCAAAGTCAGATCTCAGCCCAAAGGCGGGTGGCAGGTAGAGGGAGGATCTTAGACAAGGTGAAGGTGCTTCCAGAGGACTGTGGTCCTCTTGACCCTCCACCTGCCTGGCTTTTATCCTTGGGACCTGGCATCAGAGCCCCTGCCCAGTCGCTCTGTCACCTTGGCTCAGCTGCTGGGCATCCAGGGCTCATTTGCTCCTCTCAGTGTGTCTTGATGTGCACCCGTCATTTCCGGAGCCAAGAACCTGATTCTTTCCTTTCCAGCAACTGCTTCTGCTCTCTGAGTTGCCGCTATGTGGTTACCAGAGCCACTCTGCTGGTTGATTGTAGAGGCTGTGTGAGGGGTAAAGGTGGGATCCAAACACACACCTCAAGTTCTAGTCCAGTTTCCAGGTGTGCCATCTTTTCGTCTTCCATTGTGGGGCAAGGCTGCAGGGTGAGAGGCTTTTGGGCCTACTGTGGAGTGTGTCTATAATTTTCTGTAACAAAGACCTAATTTTCTGGAAAGCTGCCTGCTCTGTGGGCCCGCTCTGTGGGCTGCGAGAATCCCATCCCACCCTATGCATGACATTACTAGAATACATGCATAGCAGGTATTTGGCTGCTAGGGAGGGCGTCATTGCCTCCAGTACACAATAGAATCCATCTGTATTTGTTTAAAATTTGTTTTAAAAATTTCAATAGTTTTTAGGGTACAGGGTTTTGTTTTTGGTTACATGGATAAGTTCCTTGGTGGTGAATTTTGAGATTTTAATGCACCTGTCACCCAAGCAGTGTACATTGTACCCAATATGTAATCTTTTATCCCTTACCCCTTCTCCCAGCCTTACCCGCTGAGTCCCCAAAGTCCATGATGTCATTCTTATGTCTTTGCATCCTCATAGCTTAGCTCCCACTTATGAGTGAGAACGTACGGTATTTAGTTACCCATTCCTGAGTTACTTAGAATAATGGCCTCTAGCTCCATCCAATTTGCTGCAAAAGATTTATTTTGTTTCTTTTCATGGCTGAGTAGTATTCCATACACACGCATACACACACACACACACACACACACATACACACACACAAACACACACTCCACATTTTCTGTATCCACTCGTTGGTTAATGGGCACTTAAGTTGGTTCCCTATCTTTGCAATTGTAAATTGAGCTGCTATAAACATACATGTGTATGTGTCTTTTTTATATAGTGGCTAAATTTCCTTTGGGTAGATACCCAGTAGTGGGATTGCTGGATCTAGTGGTAGTTCTACTTTTAGTTCTTTAAAGACTCTCCATACTGTTTTCCATAGTGGTGGTACTAGTTTACATTCTCACCAGCAGTGTAAAAGTGTTCCCTTTTCATCACATCCATGCCAGCATCTATTAAAATTTTTGACTTTTTAGTTATAGCCATTCTTGCAGGAGTAAGGTGGGGTATCTCATTGTGGTTTTAATTTGCATTTCCATGATGATTAGTGATGCTGAACATTTTTTCGTGTTTTTTGGCTGTTTATATATCTTCTTTGGAGAAATGTCTGTTCTCCATAACTAAGTAACTAAGTGGTTAGCGAAGGCCTCTCTTAGGAGATGAATTTGAACAGAAATTGCATTAAATGAAGGAACAAGCCTTGCAGATATCTGGAGAATTATCTAGCAAAGGAAGTAAAGGCAAAAGAACCCATGGCAAGGAGATGCTTGGGCTGTGGAGGAATAGTGTGGGGAAGCTAAGGGCTACAGCAGAGGGATCAAGAGGGAGAGAGGTAAGAGCCAGCCAGGTCGTGTGGGGTCTTGTGGCTCAGGCCATGTGTTCCTGGCATTCAAAGGGAAACTGAAGACAGTAAGTAACATGGCTCTCAATATCTAATAAAAGGAGACCGGTTTATCTGCACTAAAATATCATGAGTTCATGGTGATATTGATGTAAGACATTGCCCAGCATAATGAGCTGTATTTTTGTTAGTAGGTTTTTAAAATGAGTATTATTTATCACGTGGGCATTTATCGTGTTAGTTTTAATTTTAAAAGAGGGATGTTTTTGCTTTAGTCTTTTCTGGTCCATTCTACCCCATTACACTTTAAAAAATGCTATTTGAAAACCATGAAATTTATATCATAACTAATTAAGTTAAACCTGTAATCCTAAAAGTAGTGACTTAGTCATAGGGAACTCTCAGTGGCTAATAGTCCATTTGGAGCAGTGACTCGGAGTCTCTTTTTCCTTCCCTGTGTAAGAAAGGGATTCGCGGCACTCCCTCAGGAAGAGTTCTTAATCGCACTTCCGTTTGTTACCCTTTCCTTCAGCCTGCAGAACATCCTGTAGCGTTGCTGGAGGTGCAGTTCTGCTGGTGACATTCTCTCAGCTTGTGTTTTTATGAAAAATGTCTATTTCATCCTTATTTTTGAAGGATACTTCACTGGATACAGACGAATGATTTGACATCTTTTTTTCCACCCCCAACCCCAGCCCTCTGGGTATCATTCTTTTGGTCTCCATTGTTTTGACGAGAAGCTAGCCTAGATTCATATTTAAATATTCTTCGTTATCTTATTAATGTATAATCTCTTTTTAATCTGGTAGTGTTCAGGATTTGATATTCAGTTTTGGTTTTCAGTATTTTGACTCTGATGTACCTAGGTGTGGTTTTCTTTTTTTTTTTTTAACTTGAGTTTGCTGGACTTAAATTTGTTATTACAAGTTATTGTATTTTATCAGATTTTGAGATTACTTCTACTATTTATTCAACTATTTTTATTTTTTTTCTTCTTCAACTATTTTTTTTGATCTGCTTTTGTTCTTTTTGTGGAACTCCAGTCGCATGAATGTTAGACTCTTTGGTATTGCCCCACTAGTTTCTGAGGTGCTGTTAATTTTTTCCAATCTTTAGTTCTCTGCTGTCTAGATTTGATTGCTTTTATTGGATCCATCTTTAACTTCACTAATCCTTTCTCTGCTATCTCCAGTTTGCTGTTAATCCCACCCGATGGACTTTTCTTTCTCATAATCATCATTTTTAATTCTAAGAATTCCATTGAAAAACAGCTTTATTGAGATACAATTCACATACCATAAAATTTACCCTTTAAAGTTGTCCAGTTCAGTGGCTGTTGGTATATTCACAGAGTTATGCAACCATCACCACAATCTAGTTTAAAGCATTTGCATCATCCTAAAGAGAAAGTTCACACTCAATGGCAGTCACTCATTTTTCCTCCCTCCACCAGCCCTTGGCAACCGCGAATCCACTTTCTGTCTGTATGGATTTGCCTATTCTACACATTTTATGTAAATGAAACCATGCAGTACGTGACGTTTTGTGTCTGCGTTCTTTCACTTAGCATAATGCTTTTGAGGTTAAGGTGTATTGTTACATGTATTGGTACTTCATTGTTTTTTATAGCTGAAGCATGTTTCCTTGGGTGGAGAGGCTACATTTTGTTTATCCATTTGCCAGTCCATGGGCATTTGTGTGTCCTAGTTTTGGTTACTATAAATGATATGGCTATGAACTTTCAAGTACAAGGTTTTGTGTGTACATGTTTTTTAGTTCTCTTGGGCACGTACCTAGGAGAGGAATTCCTGGGTCATACGTTTAACTTTGATTGTCAGACTGTTTTCCAAAGTGGCTGTACCACTTTACATTCTCACCAGCAATTTATGAGGGTTCTGATTTCTCCACAAACTCACCAGCAGTGGTTATTATTCATCTTTTTATAGCCATCCTCATGGATGTGAAGTAGTATGTTATTGTGGTTTTGCATGAACACAGGAGCAAGACAAGCCTGTCACTGGAGAAAGAAAAGCTCCTCTGCCTGCAACCCCCTGAGCATGCTTAGGCTTCCTGGTCTTAGAAGTGTGTGCCTCAATGATGGGGAGGATCTTCCACTTGGACGGCTTCTGTGTGGCTCTTCGACTTCTAAAACATATGTTAGAGAACCGATGATAATACCAGTTTAAGAATCGGAGGGTGCAGGAAATGGGTTCTACACAATCTCTCTAAATTCAAATGCTCATTGTTGTTGAATATAGTTAACTTGTGCCTAAACGATTTGATCCAGTTTATAGGTGTACTTGGAGGCATGCCCTCCTCCCATATCAATTGGAAGGCAAGCATCTTTCTCTAAATTGACAACATCGATATGTGGCATTCCAGAAGGAGCCTCAAGAAGCA